CTGCAGTTGCTGACATATTGTTTTCCATTATTGGCATTTCATTATAATAGCAAAATGGAAAACATCATTAGTGTAGTGTAAGATCTGTGATACGATGCTCTCGATGATTTGTACATCTCTTGAGTGCCGACAAGCGATGTCCATTAATTTACTCGGAACCATTTATAGTAAATTGATGTAGTTTATTCCGAAAATTAGCCAACTTTTAATTAATGTTTGCGGTAGCTTATGAAATATCAGCACCTGAAATTTCAATTTTTTTCGATAATTGACGAAATTTATCTAAAACATGTATTTATATGAATGAATGTATAATGAATATATCTATATTAAACGATATTGTATTACTGAATATATCTTTCAGTTAACTTTTTATTTATGCAGTATTAATTTAAATCGAACAGCTAAAAAAGCTAGTAATTATTCGCTCGGAATACATCGATTTTTTCCCACCTTTCTCTAGAAATAATGAATGTAAATTAATAAAAAAATTCAACTTGTCGAAATTTCGCTTGCATTTTTCCACAATTTCCTTCGATAGATGTTACATGAATTCGTTTAAACATGTGGAACAAAGAAAGAAGTTTTCGATGCCTTGTTTCCTTTTTTTTGCACATTATGGGGACTTATGGAAAAATCGATCGATATTCCTTCATTCCCATCGCCTTTTCAAAATTCAGTTAACGTTTGCATCTCGGATTCGTTAATCAGATTTTATTTTCTGTGATAAGTTAACAAGTCGTATAATTTTTTTTATCATCAGCGCTAAGTGCTGAATTTAACATTGGTTTTTGAAACGATAAAATCTGAATTGCTCAGCTATCTTGCCGAAAGCTGACAAACCTTAGCGAGGCGAAAAGCGGAATTTTTCTTCGGACATCTCTAAAGAACTAAAGGAGAAATAACAACTGGAGTCGATTTTCTAAAATATTGATTGTTGCTTGAGCATTTATTTATGTAAACGGGTTAATAAAATTTAAAAAAGTGCACGAAAAGGCTCAAATTGCACTATACTTAACTTATTTTCTTCTATCTCATCTTCGAAGAATTGCAAGTAATTTCAACTTATTGAGTTCTACGGAAAATTTTCTGCGAATGGAAAGGAAAGTTATTATCACATCCATAAATAGATGAACGAATAACCTGCTCTTTAAACAATTTTTTTCATTCGTCTTATTTATTTATGATCGATCTTTGTAAGCTCCATTGTTTGAAAGCAAGAAAATTTTAGACTTTTAAATTCATTACTTAGTGGTGGCAACATAATCGACTAGTTGTTGTTTAAGTTTTATCATCTCGAAAATCAAGGTTCGGGCTCTATCATCGGTAGAACATGTCATTAGAAACTCTACCGACTGGTGCTGGAAGCTCCCTTGTACTTCTATTCCCAACTATTTCCACGTAAAATTTTCTTATCGCATTAAACGGGCAATAGACTGACCCCCTGATTAGAAATAGTGAGATATCTCTAATCATTTTCTTTCCATTGATCAATGAAAGAATTTCGGAAAAAATTTATTGCTCAGTTCATGGAAATTCGGTTTTTTTTACTGAGAAATTGGATAACTTTTTCTTCTTTATTAAACGAGAGCATCTTGGATGATTTTTATTGCCGATCAAATGATTTTTGTTTTGATAAGACCCAATCATTTGTCTTGTTTCGTTGAAATGCACCACCTACATAATTATTGTTCCATTAATGACCTTGAGATTTAATAGTACATTATCTAAAAAAGAATTTTATCGCAAGATTGAAAAAGTTCGACATCGCATCAATGCCCTTAAAGTAATTTCGAATGTTTTTTCCCTTCTACTGAATAAATAGCGGCAAATTATGAAATAAAAGCTTTTCAATGCTAATTGACTTACTGTTAATATCCTTTCTCCTTAAAAAGGTTTTCTGGTTGATTGCGATTGTCTAAACGAGCAAAACGATTTTTGACAAGGTATCACCAGGTATCGGAACTTATGTGTTGTAAATAGTGCAGATGCTCAGCGAAAGTGGTAAATTGTTTAGGATGTCATATTTACTCTCTGTATTGTTTACAGAACCTCGCGAAAACCTCACGATTTTTTTTGTTATATTAAAGAACCAAAAGTAAGATTTCAATTGTAGTATGTTTTTTTTCGTACACAATAACCATTCATTTCTATTTTGTAGAATTTAATTATCGAATTTCATATGAATTTATGATTGCTCACTTTTTTCCTTATCATTAGAACATTGTTATACTTTGGAAATGAATTACTGCTCGAGAAAATTTTTTTTGGTCGGTTAAACTGTTCCATTGATTTTGGTGTTTATATCGCTAGCCTTAATTTATCGATTCAATAAGCGACAAACTGTCAGCCATATGGTGTATAGTACAGATTGTCATTTTGAAATCAGAGGTTCGAATCCTTCTCTGACAAGACGCTCAGATTCAGTGGCAATTTTAGCGATTCATTAATATTTCTGTTGTTAAGTAACTGCGTGGCAAAAGCTTACCATAGTATTAGCAGCCAATTGACCGTTTCCTTTAATCTTGTACTTTCCAATGATATAGGATTTATTATATAATTTGGTCTTCTCTTTACAGTATTCATGCGCTCCAAGCAAATAATATAACGGGTCCATATTTTCTTACTGAAGGAATATACTATATATCTATCAACAAGTGAAAAAGAATTGAAACAATTATTTAAATTTTTCTTGTGACATTGTGATGTATTATTCTACATTTTGCTTTTCCTCAAGTTTAATTTTGAATCTTAGTGAAGGAACAACGCCTTAGATATATTCAAAGCGTTATATTTTTTAATAGTAGTTTCCACCATTACTGGTTAAATCGCTCCGCTGGCTTGTCGCGCTGGACAAATAAGTCAGTGAAGTCCTTTGGCGATAGAAATAAAGATGAGTCGTCAGCATCACCCGGATTTTTAGACAGGTTTACTCCTGCGAGGAGTCGAACCTCAGCATCGGCGCTCTCAATTGAGCAACAACTCACTAAGCCATCCTATCCCCAAAGAGTTGATTAACTAAGCTTTATAATAAACTTTCTATATGAAATATATTTCGATATTATAATTAGAAAAATTCTTTGATATTATAATTAGAAAAATTCTTGAGAAAATTATTATTGACGATTTTCTCGCAAAAATTTTAATTTTTACTGTTAATGATTAAAATTTATGATTCTAGTTATTCATTAGTAATAGTGGCAGGTGATTCTGTTCAGATGCAAACAACAGTTTGTAAATAATTGTTAAATTCTGACATAAATTCTGTAATCTAAGAAATAATGAGAGGATTGTTTTTTTTGGTCCTTTACTCAAATTTTTCCATCTGATCCTTTTCGCTTCCTCCCTTCTTTTTTTTTTAGCATCATTCTACCAGCTATTTTTCGTTTGTCTATCTGGTTATTAGGACGAGATTCCATTCCATAGCGAATCATTTAGGAACAGAAGTACAGATAGACTCTCAAATGACATTAACAATGCCTTCAAGAAACAGGAAATGAATTTATAATGCACAGAAATAACATATAATTCGATAGTCTTTCCCTTATCTCGTTTTTCTCATTCTTTCCAACCATTGTTTTTTGATGAATCAAGTTACTTTCGAATTTTGCAAAATTCCGATTAGCAAATAATAATGTGCAAAATTTTTTTACAAAGCATTATTTTATTCTTTTCAACTTTCAACTCCCGTTAGCGGTTATATTTCCCTTCTTATTCTATTTTCCCCTTTTATTCTATTTTGCTATTTTTAGTATAAAAATATGATCAGCAATGGATCTGATGCGACTAAGCTTAGGCCTTATTGTGCTATGGATCCTTTTCACAATCTAGTGGGGCTTACAGATTCCTCCTTTTAGCATAAATAATGTAAAATTTTTACTGATGACCGCAGTTAGGAGCACTTCTGCTAATATTATTATTTCTTGACGCAATCTATCGTGACTGAAAATGAACAGAAGTACAGATTTCAATTAGTAGAACTTATTAGAAGTTAGATTAGAAATTTCGCTTAGACCTTCATAGCGAAAATAAAGACATAGATTTTTTACCATCCGAGTTCATTGACGTATAGTTATGACTTCATAATCTAAAATCTTTATATTTCAGTGAGCCAAAAAATATTTGTTGATGAGAAGTTCGAATTTAAGATTGCGGACTTCATTCTCCAAGAGTTGCACTTTATATAGCATTTGAATTTTGTTTCTAGAGGAAGCTAGAACAGAATTCAGAATTTTGTTATTAAATAACAATAATATAAATAATTAATCGTCCATATTTATTGCGATAGTTGCTTTTTTAAATTACCATCATCCGATCTTTTTTTCTTTCGATTTACCAGTATTTTGAAAATTATTTGTTGCTTTTCGATTTATTTATTTTTAATTATCAAACTAAGTTTAATTAAATTTGTCGCGATGTCACTTACTTTCCATTTTGTGGCTCTAAAAACTCGACTTAACAGCACTTTATCCTCTTCGTTTCATGATGCATAAGTTATTTTTATTTTACAAATTCCTACGCACAACAGAAATAGAGATAGGCTTTAGGACTTAGTGGTCACAATCGTAGTTTACCTTGTATGTTCATAATTACTTCAAATATTTATTGTTCATAATTTGAAAATTGTTAATGAAATAATTGTTAATAAAAATATGAAATATGAGTGGATCTACGCTTCAGTCTTATGAGCTTTTCTTCTTTTACATTCTTCAGTTTTTTCTCGTACTTCATGACTTATCTACTTAGAATATTTAAATTTGTCCAGCTTTGATAAGATCACAATTTTCCGCCGATTGATGTCAATGTTAATTCGATAATCTAAAAGTTGACGTAGAGTTTTGATTATATCATAACGATTTTTTTAGTGCTATACTAAGACTTATTTTTGGGGCATAATTGTCGAGTGGTATGTTATTTTGGCTGAGAGAGAACAACCTGAGTTCACGTATCTTTTGCTTTTGCTATGAACGCAATTGAAAGATTGTGCTAAGAAATCGCCTATGCCTCTACCTCATAGTGTCGGTTTGGCGCAGTGGTCTCAACCTAGTAGTCAGTGGCGAATCGAACCAAAAGTGATGTGTTCGAAGAAAGGAAATTATCGTCTTTCGAAAAAGTGCTTTCAGCTGAACCAACGATTGGATTATATTGATCCAAAATCTATTGTTCATGATATTATAAAAAAAATGTTTCCTACGCTTCTTGCTGCTTTTTTTCGCTATCAATCTACTGTTGGCATTTAATTATTTTTTTATTATTATTTTATTACCGCAAAATCGTTTCAATTTGATTATTTATTTTTAATACATGTATAATCATTCTGCTTGCTGCACTATGGCCGACTGTGTGTTGTCTAGGTTATTATTTCAAGCATTATAATTGCCTCTGATGGGAGTAAACCTGGCATTGAAAAATCCTTTAGAAGCGAGGACTTACCTGTTCTAGTTAAACTGTCAATATAATTCTTGTCAATATAATTGAATCATCCTAATAGTCAGTAAATCAAGCCTAATTAGAAAACGATGAGTACTGATAACGGTGACTGAGATTTTCATTTTGTTTATTTGGATCATTCTAGCAAATGAATTTAGATATCTTTTCAATTTGTTACAATAATTCATGCGTCATTACTTAAAAAATACTAGTTCTCTGTTACCGAGTTAAGAAAATTCTTTATATTTTAATCGTTTTTCATCTCGGCACCACTAATTTGGGAATAATGTAACTCTGTCGCCCATCCGTGGCATATTGTAATTGCAAATCGCAATTGTGAGAGATTGATTTTATCGTTCGTGGAATTTTCATATTGTTATAATATGCATATGAAATATGCAAAATAAGGGCCCAATTGTTTCCTAACAACGCCAGGATTTCGCATCGTTGCCAAGGTTTATTTTTTGCCATCGAATAGGAATCGAATTAATGTTTGATCATAATTGAAGCCACTTGTTCAAAAATTTTCCCTATCTGATATGAATCTGATGGGCACAAATCGATCTCTCTGAAGAAGTTTATTAGGAGATATCAGGAGTAAAAATATTTTTAAATATTTGAAATATTTTTAAAAAAAATATTTTTTAATATTCCTTTGCTTGTGGTATGTTCGATTTTAAACAATATAGATATGTATCACTCATATTTTTTGTTTTTTGTTTCTCATATTTTTTTGACATTTATTAAAAATTTTTTTAAAAAATTCTCTCTTATGAGTTTTAACTTCTTTTTTTTTTTACGAATAATTCAACTTTTATATTGTTAGGATTTTAATCGAAAATTTGTCGTATGATGATTGAATTTTGATATTTTTGACTTTTATTAACTTTAAACTTTAAACAATTCAACATATCTTTTGTCAAAATTTTTTTCCGCTGAAATATACTTTTCAAATTTAGACTTTTAATTTAATCAAAGAAAGGCAGTTTTCTATATTCATGCGAGTAGTTCAATTCTTGTTTTGTTTTATTTCTCAATCATTACCACTGGTGTGCTATGATTGCTACAGTATAAACAACATGCATAAACAATGCTCTCGTTATAATAATTGTACGGGACGAGCTTGCATTTTTTGTAAGTTTTCGCTTTTTGACGCAAAATTTGTTCTCGTTTGCTTCATTTTAAAAGTCATTGGACTTTCTTTCTTGGGAGGACGATGATTCTGGTCGATTATAAGATTCCCTCTTCATAATTACATCATTTCATCATTTCAATCATTTTAACTTATTTGTGCACTCAGAATTTATATCAAGAGAGCAATAAAGTTCATAGAGGTTTAGATAATTATGTTGAGACGCAAGAGTTCTGCTCCTGTTTCTGGACTAAACTGTTCATTCATAAAGGGATCTGGATGGTGCTGGCGACCCACCTATTTTTCTGTCGCTAAATGATTCTTTAATTTCGAATCTTACCATTAGCCACTGTAACGTTAATTATCTAATTACCGGAAATTTGCAAAGAAAAACTAGGTTCAGCTTTCCAACTGGATTGATTACTTAGAACGAATTTTAAATAATCAAAATTCATTTTATTTTTAATTAAAATAAATTTTGAAATTGAATTGGCTTTTTAAGAAATAAATTATTTTTAAAATTAGGACTTATAAAAAATAAAAGCTAAGTGATGTTTCAAATTGCGATCATCTGATAAGTATTTTAGTAAATTCATTGCAATATGAAAGGATAACTATTTATTGCAAAATTTTTCAGAAATTGTTGCAAAAATAAAAAAAAATAAAAAATAGAAGCTAGTAAATCACGTTGAGGCCTTTTCCACCGTCTAAGCTCTATATCTATGCGAAAATCTCCATATCAGTCCAGATAGTCTAGATTTTGACGCTATCCATTACAAGATTTGACAAAAGTTTAACTATTTAATGAAACTGGCTATTTCCTGTGATGTGCGGCGAAGATAGTCTAAATAAGAATGGTCAAACTTAAATAACTTCTTGCTACTTTTCACATTAACTATGTTTCGCAACTGTGTAATATTATGGATTTTGCCTTTTCGAGGCTGATTTCACTGCGATTCCGAAGAGCCTTCGCCAGATGAAAGAAGACCTATCCGACCTGGAATTTCGATGACTATTAGGTATAAGATTGGATCTAAGATATTTAAAGTTTGACATTTCTTTGGTTAATGAATTTATATATAGTAAGTATATAAGACGAATAGAGTTTCGTCTTATTTACATTGATTTGAAGTCCAATTTTCGCTGCTGTTTTCGGTAACCGCTGGAGTCTTGTATCTTTTCCTATTAGTGGAAAAGATAACATCAAGGTACTTTGAACTGATTTGTATATCTCTTGAATGTTGGTATTCGTAACCCAATTTACGCATAATTGAAAATTGTGGGGAAGAGAGCAAAACCTTGATGGACAACCCTGATAGTTCGTATTTCAAAGCGCTGACATACGTCGAAGCATATACTATAACATGTCTGTGGCTGATTATTTTCTCCATCGTTACTTAATTTTCTGGAGTGCCATCGTATTCATCGAATCAAAATCAGCGCCAAAATCCATGAAGCACAGTAGGTTGCCGATTGAAGCAGTGTAATATCCTCCACAGCTTGGAAATTTGGTCAGTATAGCCGCTAGATGGTTTGATTTGGGCATGTCATGTTTTTACTCATTGCCACGAGTTTGGAAGAGGAGCAAAAATCGTTCCAGAAATATCTAGCAAGATCATCCCTCGATAATTGGCGCATAATCAATTCAATTCAATTCGAGATTTAGTTTATGCTAATGGAAGATATTTGTCAACCATTAATATCACAGTGGTGTATTTCTCAGATTATTACAATGTTTCAACCGTGGGCCTTACATGGCAAGAGTAAGAGTTTGCCATTAAAAAATCCTTATGAAACTGAGGACCTATTTGTATCTAGTTCTACTACCGAGCGACAAAAATATCAATAATAACAATATTATGGTGAGTGGAGCGAATCTAAACAAAAATGGTGGGAGCCAACCACAAACTGATATATCACTAACGAATCACTATCGAATTTGCAGTGTTATTGTTGCTATGTGATTATTGTTCCTTTTCAGATGAAAGGTTAGATGGTACATTTTTGTCTTCATTTTGCCTTATGAATCTGCCACCCTCATTTAAACACCAAATTGAAAATGAATGCTGGCCAGAATCAAGTGGTGGTGGTTTGCAGTGTATGTGTGCCGCAGATTTTTGTAATGAGGGAGTGAATAAGAAATTACGCTTTCCTGGTACTTTTTTTTTAATATTCAGTTTGACTCTTATTTAATGATGTTGAGCAGATAATCATTTTTGCTGCTTCGACTGCTCTTGTGCTTATACTTATTGGTATAAAAATAGGCAAAATGCTTATTTTCTTTCATATAAAGTTGAAATCGCTTTCATCTTCACAGGTTGCAGTATTATCTATTATTGAACATGTATTAGAAAAAGAGGACAAATCAAAAATTTATAACTCGCGTAAACTAAAAAATTATGTGCCTAATCTCATTAAAATGATTTTTTTCTACTGCATTCGCTTTTTCCGTTTAAACTCGTTCTACTGGTTATTAGGATAGCCTTTCAGCCAGAAAGCCATTTGGAGATAGAAGTAAATCTGATACTGGTAAATCTCCAGCACTACTCGAATTTGATTTAAACTTTTGTCGGCGCATGCTGACCTCTATTAACCTCTTTGAAAATGGTTATTCAACTGGAAATCAAAATGTGGTATATTAACCTTGTTTAACCCTAAGTTTCAAGTATTGATAACCATTTAACCATCAAACCATTTATGATAAATACCACTTATTAGAAAGCTTATTTGTGTTAAATATAATGTATAATATATTTCCTTATTTCAATGCACTTTTTCATTTATTGTTGAAGTCAAGTAGTTTAAAATAAAATATTCTGGTTTTAGATGATATACCAATCAAGAATGCTAATTTGTTGAAACAGAATCCATTTCTGGTCAGTTTTGAATCGTCATCGAATGAAAATGAGGTTTACGACAATGCGGCTATTGTTTTTGGGGCTTCCGATAATCTAGCCGATCTACCTTTAAGTGAAAGAGAAAGAGAATGGATGGTGAGCGACATCGATAATCCAGGTACTGTAATTTTCTATAATTATTACATTATATCAATGATGCAACTACTTACTCATGGAAAACTAGTATTTGATGTTTTATAAACCGAACTGCGAAATTTGATATATCTTTGTTATGCATTAAGATTTTTTGCAAAAAATTCGCTAGAATGAGTTTGCGAAACAAATATTGACCTAGTGTAATTGCGATTGCTATCGTTAATCATAAATTCCTTTGATTTCAGATTTAATATCGATAAATTTGGAGGATTATGACTATGGTCTAGAATCCCAAATTGAAATGAAAAATGAAGCGGTGGGAAGCAGGGACCCATTTTCAATTTTATCAGTGATTTTCTTCTCTCTTCTCTTCCTTACAATTTAATGTGCGAATTTCACTTATTTTTTTTTATTTTTCGGGTACTATTTTGGTGAAGTTTTAGTAGTTGTATTACTAACATCTGCGATGAGCTGTATGCTATACGTGCGATTTAAAAAATCCGTCATTTATTTTTGGCTTCTTTAGATTCATTTCAAATCCACATTATTTAAATTCATTTCTTTCTTTCTTTGAAAATTTTTTTTGAAAGAATTGTAGCAGTGAAACCCAATATTTTTCTGAAGCCGAAAATTCGGATGATTATTCTGTGGGAAATATCAAGATAACGAGATTTATAACCGATTTATAGAGTTAATTAAGTGATGTAGTTCATCCTTTTCTCAGTAGTAAAACTACTACTGTCTTTCGAAATTCTTCGAGGAAAAATTAAACTGTATCTGACCTTGATCTTGATCTAAATGATCATCTTATTTTAGATTTTAGAAATTATGGTATTTTAAAAGCGTAGCAGGAATAACGAATGATTTCTTCACTGGTTGTGACTATTAGTGCCTCATTATTATTTTTTCTCGACCTATAGTCTTTTTTTCAAATCTTTATTCACTAATGTTTGAACACTATTTCGTCGCCTCTGAGGAGAGACCAAATAAAACTTCAACATTATTACGAAATTTACCATCGAATTTAATGGTGAAAATATTAGTTTTTACAAAAAGCAAGGTTTCTCACTAGTTTTGTACTCTTTTCAAATTTTACAATAAAAAATATAAAAAATAAATGATTTTTTTATTTATTTCTTTCATTTTTTCAAACAAATGCTCTTCATTCAATACGGCCCCAGGAAAGATTGGATACCTCTGCTTTTTTACTTTTTGCTTTAGAGTTTAGACTTTATATATAGCACAGACTTTTGATCATTTCTGTACAAACATCATTTAGCACTTCACCCATTAATAATAATGATACAAAGGAAAATATTAGAATACATGCGAACACATACCGTTTTATGTTTTAAAGATTTACTTTTTAGCTTCTAGGGCAAATTAATTCAACAAGTATTTATCAAAGCATATTTCATTCAATAGATGAGATTATTTGCAAGAGATCTTAATTTAAAAAGGGGCAAAAAAAGCACGAATGGTAAAAAATAATATGCTAATAACCAAGCCTTTATTTGAATCCCATCATTCAAATTGGTAAATCATTTCCTGAAATTGAGTTGATTTAAGTTTAAAATAAATTTCAGGTATATGCAGTATGCTTGAAATTTAGAAATTTAGAAACTTTAGAAATTACTGTAATTACTATTTTGCTGTTCAAAATGATGAATAACTTTTTAAATTGGGAAAACAATAAAGGACTTACTTCCCAAAACTCATGAAGTCGCGTCGAAAAGCATCATCGTTTCGCTTTCCGAAATTCATAAAATTTCTTTCAAATGCTAACTTTTTATCATAATGCCAAGGTGCCAATGCCCAAAAAGAAGTTAATTTTCTGTTTGATAATGAATTGAAAGGCCTTCCACTAAAGCCAGTGCGAAATAATTGTATAGCTGGCCCCTTTTTCTCTCGTATGTCTTCATCATCAAAGGAATTGTGTGATCGTTTGCCGAAGTTCATGAAATCTCTTGAGAACTGCAATATAAAAGCACTCCAACTTCAATTTGAAGAAAAGCTTACGAAAATTTTTAACTATTTTTAAATTTTAACGAAAAATATGGATTTTGCCTATTCCAAGCCGGATAAGGACATCTGTAATCGCTGCCAACTTTTCAGTTTAGGATCTCATTAAGGTTTTTCATCGCAGGCTTTATTGAAAAAACTGCTAAATTTACGAAATTGTTTTAATTTTTAAAATATTCTTACTTCGAAGTTTCTGTTGAAAAAGCTTCGTGCTCTTTTAACGGAATCCATATCAATCGATGCATCATCTAAGATTTATTAAATGCTAATAAATAAAATTGTTTAAAATAGCACTTATTTTAAAAAAAATTTATCTTTTTTTGCAAAAATTTCCTGATATTCATTAGAAATCTTAAGATTTGCTTGAAAGAATTTTTTTTTTACAAATTTGGCCTTTTCTTTAGAAAATATGTTGATTTTACAAATGCACTCTACAACTTAATCGAATAAGGGGTATATTTTTTTCTTGAAGTCCGCATATTCTTAGCATTTATAGAAAGCCAATAGGTGACTAGAAAGTCGAGTGATATGCTACTTTGATTAGGGCCATCTGGAGTCGATCTGTGCCTACTGAAGAGATCCCAGCTGGTGGTGGAATAAAACTATTTCTATTCTCAAGTAACTCTGTTGAAGGGGTTTCACTCGTATTATTCAGTGGAGCGAAGCAAACCATAAGTTAGATGATGAATTTGTTTTCACAAAATAGATTTCAGAATATTTTTTTTTTTTTATAAATTTCTAGGGAAAAGATTTTGATGGATCTTTTATCGATAAAATAATATTAATAGTTTATTCATTGTGGCAATAAACTCGTTCTATTTCAATAATAAATAAGCCATATTTTCTAATTTACAGATATATTTTTAATATATAAACGATTAATCAATTAAAAGTAGAAAAGTACAAGTAAAAATATCAAATATTTACTAAATCTTTCTTTATTGAATTATGGAACAAATCTCAGCTATAGGATCCGATTTTGCAGTTATATGAAAAAAATGGTGTTTGATAAAAATGTCTGATGACTGAGTTCAACTATTTCTTAATATCTTATTTATAAAGGCATTTATAAAAGCACAACCAGCATTTTATAAAAGAAATCCACAAAAGGATTTTGGCGAAGTTAAAAAAAAGTATTTTAACAATTAAAATGTGAAAAAATCTATAAGATTAAATAAATAAATCTTCGTGAAATGTCTGAAAAATTGCGAAATCGTAAGAAAAATAGTTATCAAAACTTTGTTCTGGAATTATATTTCATTAAATGATTTCTTCGATAGGAAGAAATAAGAAACTATTTGAATAAATGGTAGAATTACTTTCACGTTGAGAGTCTGCCAATGTGAACAAGAAAATAAGAAAGAGATGAGTCAGTGAAAATTTCATAATATATTGAAAACGAATATTTCTGTCGCCTGTAAGGATAGATTTTTTGAGCAATTTATATGATAACAAATGAGCTGTTAAAATTCCTCGACGAGTGAAAGCGTATCCACAAATCCGAGATATACGGTTGGATCACGGATTCTTAACCTTAACCGTGTAACTTTAACTTTTGGTATGGATCTCTTCAACAATCTTCTGAAGCTTACAGATATTTTTTACGAATAATATTTCTTAAAGCAGAAAATAATATATTGATGGGAAGTATGAAACAGTATAATATATGAGGTGCTGCGATTTTTATCTATATTCGTAACTGAAAGAAGAAATAAATTTCAGTTAGATGGAAATAAAACTGCAAATAAGAATAAAAATGAAGATTTTTGAGGGAAATAAAAAAATTTTCCCTCATAAAACTTCAAGGGCTCCTTTGAACTATATAGGATAAGAACGCTTGGATTAGATAAATCAAAAATATTTTACCAAAAATGACCATTTATTAATTCTAGCAATAAATTTTGTACTTAAGTTGTATGCATATTTTTATCACTTTTAGAAAATGAAAAAATTAGAGAAATATCAATTTCTTTTATATAATAAACTATAATTTGCTTCATCATTTCCTTCTTCATGCATTTATGGATAAACGGTGAAATGTGGCAATATTAATGTAGATTTCCGACAGAAATACATAGTCTCATTCTTGTTAAAACTCATCGAAAATAGAATTGACTGAAAATATATGAATCAAAAATTGAAATAAATATATTCATGTTAACAGAATGACATGGTCATAAAGATTAATAAATGCAATTGCATTTATTGAAAGATTCTGAAGACGAAGGGGACAAAAAAGAATATTGATTTTGACAATATGAGATAATCTTTTTTTATCCAAAGCAAGATTTTGGATCAAGGCCTCCACAAATAGCTTTTACTTGGGCCATCCAAACTGTAAATAAGCAGTAATTATCATTAAGTAATTATCAATAATTATCATTACCACATATTCATATTAGCAAACAAAAATTGCTGGTTATCAGATTAGTTTCACTATGAATTTAATGAAAGAAGGTGAACAAATGAAAATATGAATAATAAATGGAATATGGAGGGTAGAATAATCTGGTAGTTTGTTGATTAAATATGAATTCATTTTAACGGTAAATCTTGCCACAAATCTGGCTAATGCTGGGTCCACTTAGTTGTATTTCTATCTCCGAAGAAGCTCTGAAAAGTTTCATGCTAGCAGTAACTGAAGTCAGCCAAGTTGGAAATGGTATTACCAAAAAAACAAATGAGGTATACAAAGGTTAAATAGATTTTCGCGTAGTAAAAAGATATTCAGAATTAGCATTATATTTTAAAGTTGTAGAAAATAAATATTTAATTCATCTTTCATGACAATTTGGCCACAGCAAAATTTTTAGATCTGCCTAGCTTTGCCAGCGAAAAAGTGAATTCATTAAAATGCATCACTATTCTTCTTTTAACAGCTCTCACCATTAATGGTTAAGCTGGCTCCACTGGTACAAGGATAAGATCTTTCCAAGCTGCGCGATTTGCTATTGGCAGCTATAATAGAAGCCATTCCTTTTTCTATCATCTAAGTCCATATATCGCTGGTCCTATACGTTCAAAATCTTTCCTGACTGTATCAGTCCAGGTTTTGATTGCCCCTCCTCACTTTTGATGCCAACTATCACAGGGTTTAACAAAAGGCTGTTGAACTCACGTTTATTCAACATACTACCAGACTATTCTACTCCATATTTCATTTATTATTTATATTTTCATCTGTTCACTTTCTTTTACTAAATTAAAACAGTTTATTACAACCATGTGCGATTTTATCCACACAGCCAAAAAATACCATAGACATGAATAGTCAAAGGCAGGTGCCTCTTAATATCCTCATTGGCAATGTCTCGGAGCCATATATGAAGACAAAACGAAACGCGGCTATATAGACGCGGACTTTCGTTTTTATGGTGATTTCTCGATGGTTCCATAGAGGTTTTGCCAATACATTTCTAGTTATCCGTGTTGCAATTCCATCTTTTGCCCAGCCATTCGGGTATTAGAGTGGATCCAAGATATTTAAAATCTGACACTTCTTCAATGGCAATGAGTTTATAAAAAGAATACATCACTGTATTTCTGAAATAAACTGGCACGTAAAAGTAAATGAAATAAAAAGCATAATTGCAACTTTCAATAATTGAAATTATTTGTCTTTGAACTCCAAGGATAAATAGGATAGAAAACGAATGTCTACTAAATATAAGAAAAAATGTTGCTTCATCCTTATTTTAATGAAAAGGCCTAATATTAAAATCAATTAACTGGTTTGTACCAGAATACTGTATATTTACAATTTATTTAATTTCCTATGATAACTTAAAAAATCCAAAAGAATTTCTATCCAAAAAGAACTCAAAACTCTTAGAAAAAATCTTATAAGCATTCTGAATTAAGCATCAAAATAAGTGAAAAGTAGAGAAAAAATATGAATTTAACTTACTGAAGATGAGTTATTAAAAGTAATAAATGATAAAAATGGTTACGTTTTAGGATATAATTAATCTCTTGAAGCAGTGAATAAGTGGCAAAGTTATTGGTAATAGAATTTATATTAAGTAAAAGTTCAAAAAATATCACAAACTAAAAATTAAAGATAAACAATTATTTCATTAATAATTTTGAATTATTTAAGAATTAAAGGTCCCTTAATTATTTTCAGTCAAATAAAAAAGGACGAATTCTTTCTTCATTCGTTAATCATTCGCAACATTGATGGCAGTCTAGTGATTCAATTTATAGACAAATATGCTTAGACCTCAGTTCTATTATTTTCATTCCGAAATTTTACTACAGAGACTTCGTGAATTCGTGAAATGTTCCTCTGAAATCAATGAAACAATATCCATGATTTCGTTTTAGTTTTCTTTCCAACATCTATAGTTTGTTAATTCCATTTTGTGAATTATATCTTGCGATTATATTCTCTTTCCAGTTGAATTTTTTTCCGTTTGTTTCATTATTGTCTCATAGTAAAGTAATAGTCAGTCAAATGTTGGAATAATTAGTTTCATCGCCATTATCGTTCTATATTACATTAATAGATAACGCTGTCATAAAGTAATGCACACAATTTTTATAGATTCTTTACTGAATTACCTTATCATCTTATTTATTCTTCTAAGAATAACAGGCAAAGCATAAAGTAATATGCTGGAATCAATGATAATGAGTCAGAGTAGTAGCAGTAATAATAGTAGCAATATAAGTTAACAGATGGAAGCACTAAAAAGTAAAACGAAAAGAAAAAGAAAATCGAGACTCCGAATCATTTAGAATATATTGTGAATGGCTTTACTGAGATTCCCCGAAAACAATTCTAACAAGAATAAAATCTGTGAGAATCTATTAGTTAAAACTGTAAGAACATAAGCACAAAAAATAAGCCTGCATAGCTTCAATCTACCTCTGCTAGCATTAAAGTTCAATTCATAATAACTGAAACAAATTTAGGTTGATAAAGCCGAAAAAAATTTTGGCAATCAGATCTTGTCTTTGAATCAAGATTATTTAACTTCAAAGATTATAGAACTATAAAAAATTAGTTTGGAATCGTAACATATGCGAGAGGCTGGGATTTAGGAAATATTCTATAGATCCTCGATTAACTTATTAAATTTGTTAAATTTATGTGAATAAAAGTTTTAAGTATTAGATTCAAAATTCTAGAGGATTTTTAAATAATGTGCCTACTATGTATATCGATACTAAGTTTCTGGTCAATTAATATCAAGATCTGAAAAATTACTTAAGCAGAATTATCAACAGAGATAAAAGGAAGATC